ATTGTAAATACATGTCAGGTGCCTGAATTTTGATCATGTGACCATGGTGATGCTGCCATAGTTATAACTACAAGTACTGTGCCAACATCCAGCTCGAGAATCCAAATAAAACTCCAGTAATAATTTTGTTTCCAAAAAACTTACATCTTATTGAATACACTGTGTGGTTATGATGAAGCAGAACTAACTCTGAGGTTCCCATACCAATTCATAGACTTAAACAATAGTTTTCCCAGCCAAACTCTCAACGTCTTATGTAATCCATATCAAGAAGTCCACTTTGTTATGGGAACCATCTACTTCAAATCCACACCTGTTCTGGTGTCCTTGACAAGACTTCAGGCTCCCACGGTCTGCAGCTGAATCAAAGAAGGCTTGTTTTTCCATCTACCTACTTGAAAGTAACACTTCCCCCCCCCTTTATCTAAAGGCAAGTTGAAATGCAGAGACACGTTGCTGCCAAAATTTCATCCTTGACATACTGGTTGTAAGTTACTTTTCGGTGCTATTGTAACTTTGAATTGTTGCTAAACAGATGGTTAGAAGTTGAGGACTACCTGTATGTGATGGTATCATTTAATTTAATCTTACTGCTTTTTTCCTATCTGCATCAAAGCTAGAAAAAAGGAGTCCCCCCCCTCTCTCTGTTTGGCATACCATGTTCTTGTGTTTTAGTTCTATAATATGAAAATGAAAGAGATGGAAACTACTAATAAGTGACTTTATTTCAAAGAACAAAGTTCCCAGAGGGGAACTATTACCTTAATTAGTGTTTTTAGGAAAGCTTTTCATTAGCCAAACCATCTGCAGTTGCTACAGTTAAGATCCACCTCTCTCTGAGCTGTTAATATTTCAGTCTTCTCAGGGAGCTTCAAATTCCAAGTCAAATATCATCACTGATTTTTTTTTTATGAAGCAAATTTAGAGACAGTAATAATATTTTTTTACAAAGCAAATTTAGAGACAGTATTAATATGAGTATTGATAAGGTCTGCATTATAGAGCATGGTATCCTGGAGAACCCTAAAACAGACTTCAGAATAACAGAGTTGGAAGGGACCTTGGAGGTGTTCTAGTCCAAACCCCTGCTCAAGCAGGAGACCCTATACCAGGGGTAGGCAACCTTGGCTCTTTTATGACTCGTGGACTTCAACTCCCAGAATTCCTGAGCCAGCCAAGCTGGCTCAGGAATTCTGGGAGTTGAAGTCCACGAGTCATAAAAAAGCCAAGGTTGCCTACCACTGCCCTATATTATTCCAGACAAGTGATTGTCCAATGTCTTCTTTAAAACCTCCAGTGACAGAGCACCCACTGAAGGCAAGTCGTTCCACTGGTTAATTGTTCTCACTGTTAGGAAAGTTCTAGGTTGCTTCTCTCCTTGATTAGTTTCCATCCATTGTTTCTTGTTGTGCCTTCAGGTGCTTTGGAGAATAGCTTGTTTCCCTCTTCTTTGTGGCAGCCCCTCAGATATTGGAACACTGCTATCATGTCCCCCCTCGTCCTTCTTTTTACTAGATTAGACAAGTTCAATTCCTGCAACCGTTCTTCATATGTTTTAGCCTCCAGCCCACTAATCATCTTTGTGGCTTTTTTTTCTGCACTCTTTTCAGAGTCTATACATCTACCTTCTACCATCTTGACACTGCACTGCAAATGTTATTCCCAGGTTGCTCCACCTTCATGACTTTTCGTAGACCATCTAAAGCAGGCATGTCAAACTCGCGACGTCACGTGACATCGTGTGACGTATCAGAGCTTTTTCGCCATTGCCGGCAATGGGGTGGGCGCGGCTCCGGTATGATGAAACCGGCCCGCAGGCTGGCAGTTTGACACCCCTGATCTAAAGGGTACCAAGTTGCATAAAGTTGACTGAAGAATAAAAATGAGTTGATATTTTAAAATAAATTACAGCAGGGGTGGGGAACATACACCTGGTCAACATGGCCAGTGGTGAAGATTGTTTGGGGTATAGTTCAGTAGCATCTAAAGAACCACAGATTCCCCATCCTTGCTTTATTTTTAACCATGACTTCCTGCTTCTTGTGCTCTGGCTACTAAACAAGAAATGGCACCTGTTGGTAGACTGGGAGAGCAAGAATCAAATGTGAGAGGAATGTCTGTTTACTGTCAAGAGCAACAGCAACAAATGTCTTTCTCTCTGTCTGAGTTCTTCCTCTTGGCAGTGCTAATGGACATTTCTCCTGTCCTTGAGTTGGCAAATAAGTAGGCCACCCTAAATTGCTTTGCCTTCTTTGTCGAGCTCTAATCTCCTTCAATAGCGAAACCAGGCAGAAGTGTTCTCCTGATATATTAGGCATGCAGAAGATGAAAGGACGTTCAACTCAGCCAGTACTTTTGGAAGTGAGCTTGAAATGGCTTGGAAACATTTCTCCAGCCTAAAAGATATTTATTTTGAACACCCTTTAGTGCTTGTGATAGTCATTCTTAGTAAGAGGCAACAATAGTTATGTTGTGCTCTGCATGCTGGGCTGTGTAGCTGACTCTGAGGCAGTGTTTGGATTTTTTTATGTAGACCTCTAAAGTAACTTCTCATTTCCACTCATCTGGTCCAGAAATAACAGAATAACAGAGTTGGAAGGAAAAGTGGAGGTCTTCTAGTCCAACCTCCTGCTCAGGCAGGAAATACTATACCATTTCAGACAAATGGTTGTCCAATCTTTTCTTTAAAACTTTCAGTGTTGGAGCACCCACAACTTCTGGAGGCAAGTCATTCCACTGATTAATTGTTCTGTCAGGAAATTTCTCCTTGATTAGTTTCTCCAAGTTCTCTCCTTGATTAGTTTCCATCCATTGCTTCTTGTCCCTTGGAGAATAGGTTGACTCCCTCTTCTTTGTGGCAAACCCTGAGATATTGGAACACTGCTATCATGTCACTGCTATCATGTCATGTCCTTCTCTTCATTAGACATACCCAATTCCAGCAAACGTTCTTCATATGTTTTAGCCTACAATCCCCTGATCATCTTTGTTGCTCTTCTCTGCACTGCAAGATATGCGGCAAAAAAAAATAAATCCTATCAGCTGTTACTTATTTCTTTTATCTGGAAATGTCAGGGATTCAATTCGAAGCACATCTGTAATGAGCTGTGGATTCTTTCTGTGTTAACATTCATCATGCTTTCTTTGCTTAAGAAATACACAGTGGAAACATCTACTTTTTTTCACTGATTTGGATTGATTTAGATTGAATGATACCAATTTAGAAGAAAAAAAAACCCTAGATAGGGAGTATCCTGCAGTTTTTGCTCCACCAGTTGTTTTACATTATAGGAGCTTACCGGTAATTTTATATTTCTGAAAAATAAATTTGTAAGTATAAAATTAAGTCCATCATCTGGCTGTTGTTAACATATGAAATAAGCAGTATGAAATTATCTCAAAATGGTCTTGATGTGCAAAATGCCTGTGACTTGCTTTCAATTATTCTGTTCTATTAGCGTCCCAGATGTTAGCCTGTCATTATCCATGAAAAACTTATTTTATTAATTTTCAGTGCCTTGTCACAGATTTAGCATCCATTCATAGAAAGAATTTATTTTATTTTATTTTTATTTCATGTATTTATCAAATTACTATGCCACCCACCACACTTCTATGATACTGTAATCCTGGTATTAAGCAATGCAGTGTATATATTGAGAGAATCTGGAATTGAAAGAAAACAGGTGTGGTTTTAAAACTGGAGGAAGAAACAAAGTAATCTGAACTATGCTGAGGACACTACTTTGACATCTGAATATGCAAATGAAGTGCATATTCATTAACTTTCTAGTGGAAAAATGGGACTCAAATTAAATTTAATAAAGACCATCCTAATAACAACAGTATAACAACCAGCTTTAGAACAGACAATGGACATACTGAAGTGGAGATAAATAAATACCTTATAGAGTCAACTATCAACAGCAGTCAAGGAGTCAAGAATTAAGCAGCAGACAAACTCTAGGTTGAACAGCAAAAACTTTGGGGGAAAAGTATTCAGGTGTTGTGACATGTTTATATCTTTAAAGATCAGACTCATGCAGACAATGGTTTTCTTTGTGACTCTCTGAAAGTGAAAAGTTGGACTTTGAGAAAATAGGAGACAAAGATTACAGTACTGATGCCTTGGAATTTTGGTGTAGTCAATGGACTCAGTTATAGCAGCAATGGTGCACTGTTGAAAACGAAAAGACCCATTGGGAACAGTTTCTCCTGGAGAAAATTTGTCCATGTCGATTTAGATCCACATAGCTGGAGCTCATGCTCCATTAAACTAAGAATCAACATTGACTTGATGACATATCGTCACCAATGAAAGATATTTTTGCACGATTTGTATTCTATTCCAGCATAGTTAAATAATGCTGTCTGCAGCATTTTTGAAAGTTAGGAGAAATGCCTTTTCTCTTCTTCTTGAAGTACCAGACAGATTGCTTGAGAACAAAAGATTTAGGTAAATTACTGAATTGAATCTCTCATGCAGTCTTTTCTCCCTCTCCCTCTCCCTCTCCCTCTCCCTCCCCCTCTTCCTCTCCTTTTCCCTCCCTCCTCTCTCCTTCTCCTTTTGTCTCTCTCTCTCCTTCCCTCCCTCTCCAAATTCCCCTAGTCTTCTGTTTGGACTGAGATTCTCTGGGCAATTCATGTTGCCTGGTTTAATAAAATTAAAAGAAAAAGCAGGAAAGGGGGATTTTGTGAATATTTCATAGGCTGTCCAAAAGAAGGGAACAAAAGCATTTGCCAACAGATGTCAAGGCACAAGACATTCACATATCCAAGCACCTGGCTCCCCTTTCCATTCACCGATTCACCCAGCCAGGATCTGGAATCTAATACTGTCCCAGTAGACACTCAATAGAAGAACTTAATTATTTAGCCTTTTCTGAAAACAGGACAGGTTGTTTTGAGTATGTTAACTGTGTGATTTAATCAATAGGCAAGCTGAGTAAATTATTCAAAAAGCTGTCTTTGCTATCTATTCCCTGTTGTTTGACTTTCAGGACCCAAGGGAAGAAAGAGGAAGCACTTCTCCTCCTGAGAAATTCCATTCAGTATGGACCAGATTTTGCCGATGCCTATTCTAGTCTCGCTTCACTCTTGGCTGAACAGGTAACTGAAAAAATTCAGAATCATCTATCCCAGCTTTTCCGAATCTGAGCCTTCCTGATATGATGGGTTTCCATTTGGGTTCTGGTGTTTTAGATAATTTTGCCCCTTTCATCAGGCTATTTTTTTCATGCCAGAAAATTGGCTTGTCATTCTTGTAAACTTCAAAGTAACACTGCAGACTTCTTTTTAAAAATGTTTACTGTCTCCTTCCTCAGAAAAAAACGTTTCCATGGAAATGCTTAGGAGACTCAAATGTTCCAAAGGTAGCAGTTGATTTAGTTGTACATTTGACGTAGCTCATTGTCTTTGTGTCAGGTTACAGTATGTATACAGTAATCATCGACTTACGATTCCAAATGGGGATCAGAATTTCTGTTGCTAAGCAAGGAAGTTTTTAAGTGATCCCCAGGTGGTGTGGAGATGTTGTACTCTGTAGTGCCCGCCTGTCTTCCTAGCACCTGACTGTGGCACCAGTCTCACCCACCCATAGCTCCCACCCACTGGCCTGCTTGTCTGGAACACAGTTTCAGTGGTGTAAGCAAACACTTATGGATTTCCACCTCTTTGTACATTGTGGTCATGTGAAGTCCTCACTTAACAACCCACATGATTTTTGCTTAACAATGGCAGTGGAGACTGGTGGGATTGTCAGTGCTAAGTGATGTGGTCATGTGACATTGTCCTTTATGACCATATCCTTTAGTGATGGAAATTCTAGTCCCAATTACTGTTGTAACCTGAGGACTCTCCAGAAGCCTTTCTCTTCACCTGTAACTGTAACAATTAAAGGCACCATCTTCAAAACACATGCTCTGTTGTTGATAGACAACATTTCAAATATCACCAGTGTAACGACTGCAAAGCGGGGGCGGAGGGGTGGGGAGCAGCCTCAAGAAATGGTGTTTGCTTTTTCAAAAGCACTACAAAACTTAGAGTGGGCCCACAAAAAGCCAAAAGCCCGAAAGAAAGTGTTTCCTTTATGAATTGTAGTTGATAGAGCATTGGAAACTAATTACAAGGAATAAGGCAGGAACCAACATTAGTTCTGTTATGATAGAGAGAATGTTATGCCAGCATAGGTCAGGTCTTCCAAGGCCATTAGGAGAATGGCCAAATTCCATTATCTTGGACAGATGGAAGGAAAAATCCTAGGATTTAAATCCAGAAACATAGACATGTATGAGAGCTTTGATTTCTTTCTATATGTGGCTTCGTTCTTATTTTCAGCAAAAAGAACTAATTTTGCTAAGTTGTGTCCATGAGCTTTTTGCCAAATAAGACAATCCTTGAATATGGGGTAAAGTATTTGGAGAGCTACATTTTACTACTGTGCCTGATGGGAAGCCTGATATTAACTTTCTCCCTTTTCTGCGGAGCAACTCAGAGTGAAATGTGCTTACTTGTGTTAGAAGTAAGTCTTCATCCTGGTTCATCCAAGCCGGGAATAAATAAGCAAACATGGCGACTGCTTTGGGAAGAAGGTTACAGTTTATTGCAGAAGAAAGATGGTCCTTGCAAGAAGCAGCAGAGGAGAAGAAAGAGAGGGAGCACATGGGCAGAAGGTCTTTTTATACCCTCTAGCCCTGCTTGGAATAGTTTCCTGTTCCTGTGGCATA